AATTAAAATGTCTGTACAAAATAAGTGTGTTTATATATTTTTTAGATTTTTGGTTACAGTATGAATTATTTAAGAGAATCTTTGTTTTAAATTTTCAACTCTTAGTTATAAAAACTGAACATTTTATAATTTTTTAATTCCAACGATTGATAATTTTCGAGATTTTGATAAATTTTGTCAAAATTCCAACTTTAAATGCTTATAAAAAAAAATCGTGCCTATGTATTTTTAAAATTTTTCAACTGATATTGTAACAATATATAAGAAAGCTTGTATTAAATTTTCAGACTTTTGGCCCACCAAATAAAATTTTATTGACAATTATAAAAAAAAAAACTAAAAAAATTGAAAACTGAAAATGTCCGTAAACAGCTCAAAAAGAGTCAAAATATTTTCAAAATTGTATGGTGTATAGGAAATGCTAATATAAACATTCAGTGAAATTTTCATGTATCTACAATAATTCGTTTTTGAATTACAACAAAATAAGGAAATCGCTACATGAGAAATCGAGTGAAAATCCAATGTTGTAAAAATTTGAATTTAAAACGCTCATAAAAATTTAATTTGACTTTCCGGTAGAGATTTTTTTATTGATAAAGGTAGATAATCTTATAAGGAATCTTGTGTTTCATTTTCAAATCTTAGATTTAAAAAGAAAAATTTTTACGAATTCTTAACTCAAAATAATTTGCTAATTTTCGTGATTTTTCCATATTTTGTCAATTTTTGAACTTTAAATGCTTATAAAAAAAAATTGTGACTAAGGATTTTTAATATTTTTCATCTGCCTTTGAAGCAATATATTAGGAGCCTTCTATTAAATTTTCAAGCTTTCGCAACCAACAAATAAAATTTTATTGATATTTTAGAAAAAAAACTAAAAAAAAATGGAAAATGAAAATGTCCCTAAACAGTTCAAAATAAATCAAAATATTTTGAAAATGTTATCGTGTATAGAAAATGCAAATATAAACAACCAGTGAAAATTTCATGTATATACGTTCATTTGTTTCAGAGTTACACCAAAAACCAAAATCGATTTTTTGGAAAACCAATTTTGCGTAAAAATTCCCGTTTTTTCCTTAATTTTTATGTTGTTTTTCCCGGCGCTTGTGAAAACTACTGGGAAATTTATACTTTTGACCCCCAAAGTACCAACTAGATTCACTTTCCTATCAGAAAAGCTACTGATGAAGAAAATCCAAGCACTTTTACTGTCCTAAAACGTGATGACAGACACAAAATAAAATAAAAAAAAAAATAAAAAAAAAATAAAAAAAAAAATAAAAAAAAAAATAAAAAAACACACATCATTGTAAAATCAATACATTCATCGTTTCACTCAGAATCTAAAAATGGAAAATGAAAATGTCCCTAAACAGTTCAAAATAAATCAAAATATTTTGAAAATGTTATCGTGTATAGAAAATGCAATATAAACAACCAGTGAAATTTCATGTATATACGTTCATTTGTTTTAGAGTTACACCAATAACCAAAATCGATTTTTTGGGAAACCAATTTTGCGTAAAAATTCCCGTTTTTCCTTAATTTTTATGTTGTTTTTTCCCGGCGCTTGTGAAAACTACTGGGAAATTTATACTTTTGACCCCCCAAAGTACCAACTAGATTCACTTTCCTACCAGAAAAGCTACTGATGAAGAAAATCCAAGAACTTTTACTGTCCTAAAACGTGATGACAGACACAAAAATATAAAAATATAAATAAAAACATACATCATTGTAAAACCAATACATTCATCGCTCCGCTCAGAATCTAAAATAAGCTTTAATTTGATTTTTGTTTCATTAAAATATCTTGATTCATTAAGAATTGACAGAGCATTATTTAAATTTAATTTTTTACGTATATTATATATAAAAACAGTACTTTTTTTAAAATCCTGATTTAAAAAAAGCTAAAATTTCATTACTCTCTGAGAACCTAAAGGCTATTACCTATGACCAGGGCCCCGCAATACCTAGTGCCGGCATTGGATATTATACTTCTATCAAAGTATCAACTGTATAAACATTAGACAGTAAACACGAGATTTATTTTTGTAATTCGTAGAAGAAAAAAATGATTTGTTTATAATCAACTGGGTATTGTAAATCGGTTCAGTTATTCCAACATGTACCAAAATAAATTATAATTTATTACCCTAGAATTTTAGATTTTCCCCGTTGTATTAATTATAGCCTATAGGTATGCATATATATTTATAAATACTAAATAGATTATCAGCGTTTGCCATTGGATATGAGTCGTAAAAACGTAGTATTGCGCCGGATACCGATTAAGAGTCGAGTCTTAAATGTGATATACATCTCTAGTAGTATATAATAACATGTGCTCGTTGAGCAACAGATTAAATGAAAATTAGATAATATAATATAATATTATTTATTATAAAATTTTATATTCGACTCACGATGGCGTTTCCCGTGGTTTGTAAAGTGCTGACTCTCCGACTCGACGTGTATTGAAATAGTTACGACGAATGTGACAGCCTGCTGCGCACTCTAACACAATTTAGAAGGGCTGCTAAGGTATATTACGTTATATAATTAAACGGATGGTGATCGGTACACTAACGATTACACGATAGAGACAGTGCCTACTATATGGACCGACCGGTCGACGGCAAAAACGAAATCGCAGCGACGGACAGTGAAGTTGGCCAGAAATCCACCGACGAACGACGTGAAAGGGCTAACCGTACTACCCTACCAGACCGTTTACGGGATGGGCAGACGAAACGTCTCAAATCACTGCTAAAAGTGTGAAAGGGTCTAAATAATACGGGCGGACCGTATTTCACAATCACACTGTACAGCGCTAGAAAGTGTTATATATAGAAATGTACTTACGTTATTCCAGGTCGGAACTCCTCGGTTGAAGTCCACTGATCGAAGTTCACTATTGAGAACACTTGCAACTAAAACGGTCGATTGATTGAAGTTGGATGTGAAGTTGATGGCCGTCGTACCTCTTATTTACCACCTGTGAGGATTATGCGATGAGATGAGCGGAATGCTCGTGTAAGATTTTGACGAGATTCCGTGATGGATTATATCAATATTATCATATTATTGTAAGTCATTATATGGTATACAGGGGTGTTCTTCGTACTGAAGGGTTACTTGGAGTTAAGTTTATTGTACTCGAAAGTTGTGAATTGTCACTTATCGCCGCCGTGTTCAATATGAGTGTACGCCGTCGCGCACTCTATGCACAACACGTCGTGACTGCTGCCGTAGTCGTTTTGGAGTGACTTGGTCGAGTTGCGGGCGATCGCCACGGGAGGTCACGACCACGGTTTGAGACTTTGAGTTACGTGGTCACGACAGATACCGTTTTTTGTCAGCGACAGCCGACAGTTCTGTCTCGTAAGTCGTTACAAGTCCTATAGCCTCTACCCTCTAGAATCTAGATAGAGATACAGTGTTTAGGTACAGCCTGTACTGTACTCGTACAGTCGTACACTCGTACCTACCTATATTATATTAGGTACTACGATATAAGTATCTTTCAAATTCAATGTTATATTGAATAATTTGATACAAAATAAAAATAATTTATTTGGTTGATGGAAGTTTTAAAGTTTTGAATATCGTTTAAAATTGAAAATGATGATAACTAAAACCACTTTTAATAATGGGATCGGTTAATTCGAAAATGAACATTCTTCAAAACCCCCTCACATAATAGTAAGCCCAATCCAATCCATTTTGACACCAAACGACCAAACAATAATGATAATCCCAGTTAACAATATAAACATGTACCAGATAAGACATTGATATTTGTTCCATGATAATTGATAAATTTTGGTTCAAAAATGTAATCCAATCCGATAATAAATTATTAGTAGGTAAAAGTCGTAAAACACAATATACGATTGATTCCAATATTTCAATGTTTCTACATTTAACCAACTATATCAGTACTGTGATTTATGTTAAAAAAGAACAAACAGATACTTTGAATTGCAATTGAAGGAATTATTTATTTTGTGTAGAATAAATAAAATCATGGTTTATCAACATTTAACAACCCTCCCGTCCATAAATTGTCTTATCTCAACAGCAATAAAGTTTGCGCCGTCACAGTTCATTACATCTGAGTCTTACCTACTTTGACTTTCTGTTAATAATCGACCATTTTATTTGTAATTTACAAATAATTTTGTTACTTGAAACTAATACAATTACTAAAACAATTATTACAAAATTATATTTAAGTAAAACTAATAAATACAATTCATACATGTTACCTAGTTAATTTGTATCTACCTCATACCTACATTTTAAATCTGTAAAATCTACATACCACTCTATTGTAAAATAAATTACATATTTAAAAGTGACCAAAAACTTGATCAGATATTCTACCAACTTGTTTGTTAACAATACCTATTATTAAATATCTACTTTGCATTGGTTATTTAAGCAATGTACATTTGTTTACAAATTTTTTTATGTTTTGCATACTTATATATAATTTACCGTGTATAATATATAATATATTTTATTATATATTGTCTTCATTATCATTTTTACTATGTGTAACAGAATAGCTTGAAAAGGTATGCAATCGTATTTTTACAGTAAACAGAATATATTATAAAGATATTGATAGGTTTTCCTTTTCCATAATGTTTATTTAATAAATATAGACTAGCATATAATATAATACAATAAAGTTATATATTTTTTGGTATTCAATATTAGTTTCCTAATACAATTTTTAAAAATGTTTACATCATTTTAGTTATTACATTTTAAACAATCATCATAACTTAAAGTAAATAAATGAATACATATTGAAAAGTGCTATAACTTATAAGTAGGTAACACATTTTAATTAATAACACAATAATAACATAAATATTAAAAAATAAATAAATATACAAATGTATGTTTGTATGGATAATACAATTGGCTATCAACCAAAATTAACTATAAAAGTACCTTTTATTTTATTTCAAAACTTAATTTGTATGGTGTATTGGTAAGTGTTTGGGCTGAAAATCATAAATCCAAATGATTAATATTTATGAAAAAAAAGTATAGCAATTTATTTGTATTGAATGATTTATTAAAATTTTAGAAAGTAATAATGTTACTTACCATAATATAAATTTGTGTTTGTAAAGATCTAACTAGTACATCGTTTAAAATGTGTTTGAAATCATTAGGTTCAGAAGTGCAGCCAATATGCATTTTTGGTAATGTTGACACTCCCACAACAAGAGGATAGAGATTATAGTGCAACTTGTAAGTACTTTCAGGCAAAACGGTGACGTTCAACTAAAATTATATAAAATTATGTATGATAATGATATTATGTTTTTTCTTTTTATACACATACATCTTTGTGCCCAGCCATCATAAATGCTTCGTTGGCTTCCATCGATACATCTAACGTAAGTAATGATTCAGAGTTGTTATGTAGAAAGTATACAACGCTCATTGGGGTATGTAACCATCCGTGAGCTGGTAATTTCATGTCCACCTAAAAACAAATTTAATTTATCATCACTTTCTTTAGAATCAAAATAATATAATATAAAATAAGTAAGAACTGACCAGAAATGTTGATTTTTCAACAATAATTTTAGGTAATTCTAAACTTGAATACCCACTTTTACATTCACTTTCCACATCAGTTCTGAAACATAAAAATGCATTAAATTAGTATTCATATAACATACCTTGTAAGTTGTAAGTTGTAAAAGGTTACAAATTACAAATGAGTTGCTTTTCAAATTATTAATTATTTAATATTTATGATTACCTTTTCCAATTTATAGTGAAACAACCTAAAATATTTTCACTTAACTCGGAGGGTGTTACACATATTACTTCTGAAGCACATTCATCAGATTCTAAAGGTACTCCATTTAGCACTGACTGGTAACCACCAGCCGAAATGGTAACATGTTTAGCCTGAAATATCAAATGAAAATGTTCTAAATTGTATTTAAATTAAACAATTTTTTTCCATAACATTTACCAATTGAAAAGATGTATTCTCTATAAGTATTGGCCATGGGGAAAGACACTTTATGTTTGGAACCACTATTAATGGTTCACCTACATACACCTTGGATACAGGTTCAAATCTGGAAGACATGTAAGAAAACTTATATGTCAAATACAATGCTCACGTCTATAACAAGTTCAACATCTTTACGCAAGCAATCTTAGTTCTGTTATTATCTTCTATCGAATAGCTTATCTGAAATAACAATCACCATAACATAATAAATATTAGCAAAACAATTTTGTTGAATTTATTGGTAATAGTTGGTATGTAGAATAACAGTGAGTACAATTAATATTGTATGGGTTAAGATGTTAAGTACATTAGGGTGGTCCTTATTTTTCATTTGTGATTTTTTTTCAGATATTTTTTTTCAGGTTATTTTATTGTTATTAAAAAAAGTGGTATTAATTGCAAATCGTTTAAATAGTTTTTTAGTATTCACACATATAAAATCATAGATTTCCTTTTCTAAAAACTCGTTTGCATTTTTTGGAGATATAATTATTAAACGTTGTGCATTTGAACTTTTAAGTGTAGTATTACTTACAAACTATACTATACAGTATCTAAAAAAGTTTATGACTTATGTTCATTTCAATCGCATTATATCATATAGAAAACATTTTATTTATTGCTGCGTTAAAAAATAGTTACAAATTTATATTTTAAAATTTAAACTCAAATATTTTTAAAAATTAAATATTTAAAAAAAAATGTATAAGTATAAAACTGTTGTAATAATACTAATGCGTAATTAAAGTCCTTACAATGTGTTTGTAAAATCATTATTTTAAGAGTTATGATTCATTATATTGAAAAATTAACGATTTTAAACATTTTTTTATTATTAAAACTTTTGTGGCACAGATTAATATTCATCAATTTGTCTGAAATTTTTTTCTTATGCTTTTTTTAAGTATTGGAATCGATTTGAGGGGGGGTAACTTGAACATTTTGCAATTTTTTTTTCCTTCATCTTTACCAGAGAACCACCCTAAAGTATATGTAATTTTAAATTTATTAAGCAATAAGTTTCATAAAACATTCTTAAAGCGGGTGTAGTGCCCTTTTAAAACAAATTATAATACTTTATTATGATTATATTGATTAAAAATTAAAACAATACAGTAAAAGTAAAATACAAAAATAAAACTAAAAAATACCAAAATTACTATTATTTTATTATACCTATTTAACCTAACCTAATCTTTTAATTATTTACTGTTGGTAATTTATATAAACTGAAAGTATTCGTAAATATAATTGAGTAATAAATACATTTACTATACCTACACAATATTGCATATTTATAAGAATTTACTAATTTTCTAATAATTCAAACTTTTTTCAATTTTCTTCAATTTGAAATTTTTTATAACTAATTTTTGTAGTTTTCATCATATAGATTTGTTTTAAAAATGTTCTATTATACAATAACAAAAAAAAAAATGTATACTGACCATGAGCTGAAATGTACGAGTGTCCAAACTTGAAAACCGAATGTAGAAAGATTGAGTTTTAAGGTGTCCAACAAGCATGCTGTCTAATTTAAAATCTACTGGCAATGATAATATATTTTTATCTGGATCTTCACATACTTCAACTGTAAATTGTTGATAAATGATTATGTGTGAAAATAAAAATTATTCCATTTTTATTATTGTATACTTACTTGAGTGTTCAACCTTTTCATTATTATTGCGATTGAGTGACAAATTTAAACACACATCACTAACAGGTCGATCTTCTAAATTTGTCAAACACACTGAAACTTTATACCATTCCAACAACAGTGCTGGATTTTTGTGTTTAATTTCCATGCCAAGTCTTGAACTTCTCGGTTTAAGAGTTGTTGATGTAATCTGTTTGATTCGTTCAAATTCATCATCAGATGCCTTGGACAGACTTAAACCAGGACGAAAAAGGTTAAAATATTTTAAATGAATAGTAATAACTAATGATTAATAACTGATAATAATAAATTATTATTAGTTATTAGTGATGTTACAAAGTATAAGTTTACACTCTGAGCATGGTCAGTATGAAAAACAAACTGAATATTGCAAAATATCTTAACAGAATCAAATACTCAATAGTTTGGTTGAAAAATCTAAATTTGTTCTATATTTGTTGAAGAACATTAAATAAGAAAATGTATTTGAATGTTAGGGAGAATATAACATTATTCATTCATCATGTTATCTTTATAATTATGTTAAAAATGAGAGTTTGTAACACCACTAATACTATTATTATTAGTAATGATATACCTGAAGTTATTCATTTCTCTTTCAAAACTTTTAGTTTTCTTTATCGAACTATAGAATTTCAAAACTATTGGAAAATCGGGTTCATTTCCCAATTGTAGTTTAATAGAATTAACCTACAAACAAACAAAAAGAAGGGTTTATAATTTCTGGCAACATTTTTATTTAGTAGCAGTTTATATTTAAATAGCTTAATATTTATAATTCAATAATTATATTCATAGCCTTATATAGACATTTTTTTTATGTGGTAATAGATCATTCTAAAAGAAAAAAACATTACTACTTCCTTAAAGTGAGCAGAGAAAATATATTAACCAGTATCAAAAATTAAACTTTCGATTCCGGTGATAGGTCTAACTAAAATAGCTCTCAGACTAGGTGATTTTAATAATTTATTGATTAATCTTACTTGAAATTATAATATAAATCAAACATGAAACAAATAAAATTGTTATTATTTGTCTTTTCACATGATCAGTTCTTTAAAGTTTAAACTCTTTGATAACCAGTTGAAATTAAACATATTGGCCGTCTTCCAGGGGCATAGAGTGCATGTAAGCACTGATCACATTTAAAAAAAGAAAGTTTTTTTGAATTGAAATCAAGTCAATATGAAATAATTAGTTTAATAAAAGTTATTAGTTATTTTTAGGACGCCAAACACATTTGATGGTTTTTTACACAGTAGGGCATATAGCCCAAAATACTTATCAGCGATTTATTTTCGTAATACTTTATTTGACTGGGGAGCCAAAATATCTCAGGCCGGTATTGTAATTATTCCATGTAAGCCTAATTGTAAGTGATTTTGCGAGAATATAAAGTGATATAGGCAAAGAACCATATGAAGGGGCACACATATTAATTATTATTATACAATTTGTAAGCATTTTTCATAATTCATACGTGTAACATTGAATAATGTTTATTTTGTTATAGAAAAATCGAATACAAGTGTGGTGTGCGTCTGTATTATAGCTCTATGTTAATATTAGAAAACCTATTATAAAAAAATGGGCTCTTCAGGTAATAACGATTGTAATTAAATTATTGAAAAATTACTATTAAAGCCGTCTGAATCAAATAGCAATAGTATGATGATTTAATTGACTATTTAACTTGAAAAACAAGAAGAACCGATTTGCTGTAAAAATAAAATGTTTTTATTAATTATGTATTTAAAAAAAAATAAAACTGGAAAATTCATAACTAATTTAACTTGTATGTATTGATTTGATATTTTTTGGACAGTAAGGGGGGGCAGTAAGTATGTAGTACTGTGTACCACTACATACACTCATTCACAACACATGCCACGCCACTGGACGCCTCGCCCAAAAAATAAAAATGAAACTTATTTCAATATTGTGCTTGTTGTTTGAGTCACAAAATACACAATATTATTTTCTACTATTAGTGAATAATGATACTTACAGTGATTTCTTTCCAACGTCATTTGGAGAGGGAACAATTTACAACTATAAGTATGAGTTTTGATTCTCCATAGATAAGTTTTACTGCATCTGTGCAGACCTCAACATCATATGTATTGTCAATGCAGGTAACACAGGCTATGAGTTTTGAAAATTGCACTAGTATAGGAAACTTAGCTCTGAAACAGTTTAAAATATATTTAAATTCATTAGTCTTACAGATTTAAAACTATTTTATAAAGTTACTTACTATATACTTACTTAATAAAAATATCAATTTCAATGCCATCACAAGAAACATCTTTCAAAATAACTTTAGTATCGATCGTAGAATTTGTAACTGACATATCAATTTCTAACACAGATCTTGATCGCAAAGAGTCACATTTTTTCAACTCTTCCATCGAACATTTTTCTCATATTCCTTAAGTGTTTTTCGGGTTCTGGAATTTGTCTCTAAAAATGATAAAATTTTGCTTAAAAATAAATTACTACTTTAAGTTTAGAAAATTATTTATATTGTAATATTATATTTACTTGTATGATTGAACCAATATTATTTAGAGCTTTTTGGAGATCAATATTTTTGTAATATTTCAGGGCTTCTAGATTTAATTCTACATAATTCTGAACACTTGCTGTTAAATATGCGCATTTTAGACATTTGTTTACTAGTTCATGAGCAATTGCTTCCCAGCCTTCGTCTCGGTAATCCCATAACATGTGACTCCATAAACTGATTCATATTTGTATGGAACTGTAATTAGTTTATTCAGCTAAAAGATTGGATTAATCAGAGTACTTACGTAAGAGCTTTGCTATAATCCTTTGCGTTGTAATATTCATCAGCCATCTGTACAGCTTAAATCAAACGAGAGCATACAATTTAAAATTAAAACAAAATTAACATTAAATAAAAATACCTAACAAATTTCTCATCCTTGGACATTTGTAGTGTTTGAACTGTTTCATTGCGTTTCCTAAAAAGCTGATGATTGCTTTCTAAAAAAATGTATAGTTCCAAATAATATGTTGAAGATAAATGGTAATTTGTTATTTAGCTGATTTAACTACATACCGAATGATCAACTTTGGTGTTTTCATAAAATTTTAAAGCTTGGACACCATCTGCTTCAATAATGTTAAAATCTAAGCTATTGAGGGTTTTAATCAATCGCCATGGCCTTTGACCATAAAATTCTATATTATTCCATTCATGTAATGGATCGCTGGCAGGATAAATATTTGCATCCTAGATAACATAGTAACCAATTTGTTTAAAACTAAGTATTGGGTATAATTTATAAAATGTTTCTTTTGAAATAAATAATATATTATTTAAATTAAACTTTTAATAGCACGTCAGACATATTATAAAAATTAAGCCTATCTTTAAAAGTGATCATGAATTATTATTAATTAATAATTAAAAATAATACTGGTGACAAACTTTACATATCTATGAAAAATTGAGGTTTGATTCAAATATGAAATAAATATAGGTACATATTACACTTTAGTCATAATACCTGACAAATATCATAGGCACAAGTTTTTCTCTTTTTTGCATAGTCTGCAGCTTCTTTAAAAAAAAATCCTGGATTTAATGCCTGAGTAGCTGTGGAACTTTCAGATGTTGTTTCATCAAATAATGATGCAAACATTGAAAATCTATACATTAAAAAAAAAAAAATAAATAATTTACCTAATCATGCCTGAATAGTGTGCGTGTGAAAACTCACTGTTTTGACAACCAAGCATAGTGTTCAAACATCAATTCTGGAGGTCCAATCATCGATTTAAATACATTTACATGAGAATTAAACTGAGTTAATGCATCTCGAGCCCTCTTCATTGCAAACAATAGTCTGCTTATTTTATATACAATGTACGCGGCAACAACTTTTACTTCATAGATGTTTGTGTCAAAAGTGCGTATTTCTAATAAAGACATATAACACTGATGATAGTGCCTAAATGCGAACATTTGACATAACAAATTAAAATGTTAGAAATTCAAAGTATAATAGTACACTCACTTATGAGCATTATGATGGTCTTGTCTAAGCTCATTATAAAATCCAATTTTGAATGAATACCGAACAATTAAATATTGGTGACTGGTTTTGCTTAAATTTTCTAGTTTTGACTTCACAGCTCTGATCTGTTGTTGGTAATAATTCTGTGCCAGATCGTAGAACGCATTTTCCAGCCTACGTTTTATAATTAATAAATAATAATATATTTACACAAGAGTATTAAAACTAAATTACCTTATAGCATAGCCATGGATATTGTCTACTACTGGAAGTATAAATAAAGCTTTTGGATTCAAAGTACAAGCGTCACACAGTGATGCAGCTCTCTCAGTAGTAATATTATCATCGACTGCTGGCATTAATTTTTGTATTAAAACTACAACAATCCTTGATTTCCTTCCTTCTAGAGACAACCTATGAATAATATGTAAATATATTACATACACAGCAAGGGTAATAGGAAAATAACAGTTTCTTAAAATAATTGACAATTTATGTTCTTATCTGTAAAATTACTTTCTTCTAGGTTGATAAGTTGTAAATTCCAATATGAAAAACATCACAACGAGTTGACCGAAAATTATGTTTTCGAATTACAAAACTAAAAGTCTAATAATAAAATATTAGATAATAACCTAATTGATTGAACTCTGGATGAACATTCACTAATTTTTTCATTCCACGACTCATCGTCCCAATCACAGTCGTAAAAAATTGACAACAACAGCAGGATCGTAACGAATATGTTTTTCCAGCCAATTCCTTTTTAGTATACCTTTTGGGATGTACGGCATTACACGCTAAATTAAAAAAAAAAAAACACACAAATCATGACGTGGTACCTAAGTAGGAGATAAGCCGCTGATGTAAAGTAAAACGGATGGTCAGGTTAGTTGGATTTGGACGGAGTAGAGAGGTGACTTATTAATTAATGTATCGTGTACCTTTTCGCTCAAAGAGGGAAACTTGTACTCGGACGTAAGGTGAAAGAAATTCAATACGGCTCGGCTGTCACGGCCAACGGGGCTGTGGAAAGCATCCCAAATAGTCCTGTGGATGGCGTTATTGACCGTATCCAGGCCGGCGATGGCGATCAGCGGACTGGGTGAACAGCACAGTTCGGCTGGGAAGTCGAACTCTCTGTAATCGACCATGTTGCGTCAATCGTTCAAAATGTGCGATGGAATAATAAAAAACCGTCCGAGAAATTAAAATTAAAACCGTTTGAAATTGCGGATTACGAACAATAATTTGCTGGGGTTTGCACAAATAATAAAATTAAAAGTAGTAAGTATCGCATTATCACAGACCACAGTATCACAGCTCGTTGTCGTCAACAGAATATAACTGATAGGCCTTATCAGTTAGCACGATTATAAAGAACAGTTCTTTATAATCGTGTCAGTTAGGTACCACCTATATTTACGATTTACTTGGTTTATTTCCATGTTTGTTTCATATTCTAGTCTTCATAGTTCAGTCAATTGGGCTGAAAAAAGGCGTTGCCTTGCAAAAAATACTAAAGGTTTGAAAACGGTCACTTTGTACGGTCCATTGTTTAAAATGCATAACGCGGACACTTTGTACCGGTCTGGAAAACTTTAGATCGGAGAACGAGTGTCGCGGACACTTTGACTTTGTACTATTATAGGTAGTATTATGTACATTAAGTATAATATATTTAATATAGACAACTAACAAGTCTGAAGTCATGACCAGACCATGTAATTAAGTGTAATGATGGTAAATCATAATATCATAAATCATAATATTATATTCCAAGGAGTGAGTCATGGGATATTACCTATCGATAATTATTTTGGTTTGTCAGTTTGACAAATTTATATTGTATATATTTTTACTTTACTTTTGGTATATAATAATATAATACGGTTATAATTTATAGTCATAACTCATATTTGATTAATTTGATAATTTCAAAATTTTTAGGTCATCAATAGTTGTTCCTAAATTAATTTTAATTCCAGATATAGTAAGCATATAAAATATCTTTTCCAAGGAATAGGTGAGCTAGTATCAAACTATAATTATTTGCCTTTAATTTCGAGTTATTGTCTGTGTAACGAATCCATTATAATTTAATATAACTTTCTTACTATAATATCTTCAATTAAAATAAATACATCTTATGGAATTGAACAAAGGTCGTCCGGGCTGCTTTTACGCTACAAGTCCATTGACTAAGCTGTACTTTCGATGCCGAATACAATGTTAATGACACAGGAAAATTATTAATTTAACATTTTACCTAATTTTGAAATTTTGTACAGTATTAATGTATTATCATATATCATACAATTATATATTGAAAAAGCTTAATAAAATGATCAAATAATTGTTGTAGATTGAATGATTGTAACTTTGTATGAAAAGTAAATTAAATAGGTACCTACTGTAAATAATTGTATTAATTTAGCACAAATTTATATTTTCGATGAATAATTCAATTGGTTTCTATACAGCTAGGGGGGGAGGTGGCCCTTGAAGCCGCCCTTACCAGGGCCGAATCTTGAACTCTGAGGGCCCTGGTGCAAAAGAAAATTTAGGGGCTCCCTTGAAAAACAATTCACAGTATTATACCATTATATTTTTACTACAAATCGAATTGCATTATAAATTTATAACCATATTTTAACATATAGGTATATTAGGTAATATGATATTTAAGAGTAATCCTAAATAATTAATAATTTATTTAACATCATTATTACATAAATATCTAAGATATTCTATTATAAGAATATAATTTATAAAGCAAAATTGTCAATAATTTCTCATATTTAGATTTTTAGTTCGTTCTTTTTTTATATTTGAAATTGCTATACTAGATGAATTCACTCGTCCACATGCGTTTCTTAAGTAATTTTTTATTAGTTTAGTTAGGAAAATGATTTTTCTGCTCTAGTGATTGCTGTCGTTATAATTTATATAAGAAAAATAATGCAAGCTCTTAAAACGTCACTTAGGTATATATCATTCGAAAACCATTTTGACGGGTCGTCGAAGTACCTACCTAGTATTACGAAAAAACAATGTGGTGTTCATACAACAACAATAACAAAAACTATAGTTATTATTATTAGTATTTCAAATTCTGAGCCGAGCGATGAATGGATTGATTTTATAATAATGTGTGCGTGTTTTCTTAAATTAATTTTTCTTCTTTTATCACAGTTTGGGGCAGAAATAAATTATTGTTCTAAAACATGGTATGGAGGAAAACATTACCGACAAATAATGACGAGTGATGACAATATAGAATAATGTTATTGTGGCCATGTCTGAGATTTTATGTTATATACCTAGCAAATGCATTACACTTTACACTACATGTAATATGTATAATAGAACATTATTATTATCATCATCATCATTCGTTATAGTCGTTATACACCCCCGACACTCGACTGATCACGCGTTCCGTCGCAACGACAGCCTCCGGGTCACACGTGCTGAAATGCGGTATCCTCGCGGGTAATCGATGGCAAGTCACACAACAAGCATTAATAGAGTTGGTACCTATACCAATAATAGTCGTAATAATGGCATTTGGAAAAATTAACGGGCCCGAAATCCAGCTGATGCCGGCCGTCGATTAATATAATAATGTGCTGGCTACTAATAAACGATGTTTGTTTTAAATCATCGTCGACGGCCCAGGAATAAATACCGAAATCGGCACATTTGCAACTCACCTGAGTATACCTATCTGACACCTTACGCGGACAAAAAAAAAACCTGAACGAAAAAATGGCTGCATCGCATAACGAAGAAAAGGAAATGGAAACAACCATCATGCAAATCTTGGGGAAGATAATAAGTAACGTCGAGTACGAGATTATGGAAGAAGAACTTAAACGAATCGACGACATCGACCAGGAACCTACCATCGGTGACCTGGAAGGACTTTTATCGTATGCGACGCGCTTCGCGGGGGACGACTACGTCCCGTCCAACGTCCTTCAACCGGTCGACAAATCTGGCAAAACGGCAGAACCGGTTGAACCGATCGCAGACGACGTCGTAGTGGTCGCGCCTCCGGTGCAGGAAGCCGCGGAAAAGGAGCTGGGTGGCGAGGCGGTGGGCGCCACACCGGCCAGAGGACTGGAAGTCAGAAACAGTATTGGGATCTTGATTGGTTGGCTGGACCCGGGGGTCAAGCCAGAAACACGCGCAGCTCCGCGCAGTGCAACGGCGAGATTGGTGTCCTCTGCGTGGAGAGGCCTGACGAGAGCCGCACGCGTGTTGCGCTGTTGCAGTTGTCCCCCGAAGTGAAACCGTCCAAAAGTTTCCCCCTGGCCGAGGGCAGCGGACAAGGCGAGGCGACGTGTGGGGTTTCGAGGTAATAGGTACGCGGCAGTGCACATTCAGGTGGTGACCGGCGGTAAGTCGCCGATACGCGTTCTCCGGCCATCCTGCGGTAGCGCGACGGGATCGCGGACGTTGCGAGCTCGAGGTCGCCGAGACACGCGAGACCCTCTGGCGGCGCGGCGGACGCCCGGCTGCTTCGGTCCGGGAGCGACGACGACACGACGACGGAGGTTAGCGGTACCCGCGCGGACAACGACGCAGTCCCCTGCGGTACCTGCTCAGTGACGAACGCTGCAGTGCTGCGCGACTCGCGTGACGGCGGCGACGGAGACCTCAGAGCTCACGGCGGGTGAGTGACGGATGACTATGATTACAGGGTAGCTAGGAACGCCACGGACGTCAGCAGCGCCGGGCTCGAGGAAACGAAACGTTTCGTCGGGTTCGGCGGTGCGCGGCTCCGTGGCCATCGGCTGCGGCAGACGGAGACGCCAGGGCGAAAATCACGGAGACTATCAGGACAGCGGCGCGTCGTCGCGAAGCTGTCTGCAGATTCTCTCCCTTTTTCGCCCAGTGGTCCGATCCCGAGTCGCAATGCCGCCGATTCCGCAGCTGCACCGAGATCGTAGTCGCCAGCTCGCCCTCCGAGCTTTGCAGGTCACCGTCGTTGCCGGCACAAGCAGTCGTCTTCAGCACCCGCAGTACCGTCAAGCAGCGCACGACATCGCGCACTAGCCTCTCGTCGCCAACCGTCGTCGCTCTCGCAGCCGTCGTGGCCGGGCTTCGTCCGCTGCCATGGTCGTCTTGGCGGTCTCGAGCAAACTCGCCCGCGACTCTCGTCCGCCCCGCAGGACAGCCCGTGAGAACGTTGTAGAGGTGACCAGTGGACATATACCAGTTACCAATTCATAATCAGCACCACCAACTCGCCATCACGTACCCCCCCCCCCCCACATCGCGTCGTCTTGTCCGATGCCTTTTTTTTTTGTATTTAAATTTTCTTTACTTTTTTTTTTTTTTTTTTGCAGTTTTGAACCGACGGCGTCGCGGGAACTGCTTTCGCATTCTTCCGCGACGCCGCCAAAAATTTTCTTTACTTATATCGAATAATATTCACTCTACAAATTTCGGCTTTTTCTTTTTTGTTCTAACTTTTTTTTGAACATACAAAATTTTATATAATATAACGGCAACCGTTTCCAAAATTGTTTCCGTTTTTGAAATTATATTCAAAATTAAAAAAATGTTATATTGTTTTTGTTCGATAATAAAAAAAAAATTGTGAACACAAAAAACTATTGTTGCTTTTTTCGTATTGTCGAGTGTGTAAGTCAATTTTTACAATATAATAAAATATTGACTTGAGTTGTAATATTCTAATCTGAACAAATCTTGTAACAGGTATCTATTACTGTACTTGGAAATCACTTTTCGGCGGTATGAGTGTTTTGACAGTTGTACAAAAATATAATTATAGGCATAACCACACAGTAAGTGGTTCGACCTTTATCGAGTACCTAGTGTAAAGTGTAATGCATTTGCTAGGTATATAACATAAAATCTCAGACATGGCCACAATAACATTATTCTATATTGTCATCACTCGTCATTATTTGTCGGTAATGTTTTCCTCCATACCATGTTTTAGAACAATTTATTTCTGCCCCAAAATGTGATAAAAGAAGAAAAATGAATTTAAGAAAACACGCACACATATTATTATATAAAATCAATCCATTCATCGCTCGGCTCAGAATTTAAAATAATAATAATAATAACTATAGTTTTTTTTATTGTTGTTGTATGAACACCACATAGTTTTTTC